AAATAAGCCTTGGACAAAGGCACGAATCATGGGCAGAATCACGGAAGACTAAAGGATACGAAGAGATCTGGGAAGCGACCACATTTGGAAGATCCAACAATCAAGGAGAAATCAAGTGAAGCAATCCTCTGCTAATGGAAAGCAATCAAGAGAAGCAACGGCTCATTCCTTATTGTTGGAAAGAATCAATTCTTTCCAAGGATCAAATCTCTTGGGTTGTCAAGCCTCTACCTTCCATCAAAGTATTTATACACCTTTGTAAACCCTAGCTTAGATATACTTTGATCAAACCAAATCACTCTCTTTATTCTACTGCAAACAAGCATTGTAGTTCACTAAGATCTGCTGTGTAACAAGTCAGGGATAGAAAGAGAGCACACAACTGGTGAGGCATTGTATCAAAAACGAGTGCTAGAGAAACTGAGCGATATACACCACATCTGTACTCGGAAGGAACTCATTTACTGAAGAGAACTCCCTTGCAACCCAAGGGGACTGGATTAGGATTCACATTGAATCTGAACCAGTATAAAAATCACGGTGTATTTAATTCCTGCAATTATTTTTTGCATTTTACTTTCCGTTACCATATCTGCTAAATTATCATATTCAGCTGACTACTCAAGTTTTAAGTCAACTTTTAAGTAATTAATTTGAAGTATATACAATTCACCCCCCCCCCCTCTTGTACTTTCAAGAAAGACAAGAAGAAGGGTTAAGCAAATGGTTGAAAAGCACAAAGATGTTGATGATTTGTGTGCTATGATTTGTGAATGCAACCTGGTGGGAATCCTAAGGAGTGGTGGATTGATTCTGGAGCCACTCGCCATGTTTGTGCTGATAGAGAAACGTTTGCTACATATGCTCCTGTTGGACCTGAAGAGACGCTTTCTATGGGAAATTCTGCAACGGCCAAAATTGAAGGATGTGGCAAGATATTTCTGAAAATGACTTCTGGCAAGGTTGTGACTCTGAACGACGCTTTTATGTTCCCGAGATTAGGAAGAACTTAGTCTCTGCTGGACTTCTTGTTAAGAACAGGTTTAAATGTATTTTTGTATCTGATAAGGTTGTAATAAGTAAGAATGAGATATTTGTAGGAAAAGTTTAGCTCACTGAGGGCCTTTACAAACTGAATATGATGGTCGTTAACAATAATAAAACTTCAGCTTCTTCTTACTTACTTGAGTCAAATGAATTTTGGCATATATGTTTGGGACATGTCAATTGTAACCTTGCGAAAAATGATTCATTTGGAAGTATTTGCCTAAATTTGAATACGAAAAATCAAAATGCCAAATATGTGTGGAATCTAAGTATGTTAAACATCCTTATAAGTCAGTTGAAAGGAATTCAAATCCTTTTGACTTAATTCACACAGATATTTGCGACATGAAGTCAATACCATGTCGCGGTGGAAAGAAGTATTTCATAACTTTTATTGACAACAGTACTCGATATTGCTATGTTTACTTACTTAATAGTAAATGTGAAGAAACATACGCATTCAAGCAATACAAAAAGGAAGTTAAAACGCAACTTAACACGAAAATCAAAATGATAAGAAGTGAAAAGGGTGGTGAATATGAATCTCCTTTTGAAGAAATATATTTACAATATGGAATTATCCATCAAACAACGGCCCCTTACACGCCCCAATCCAATGGGATTGCGAAAAGAAAGAATCGTTCATTAAAGGAGATGATGAACGCATTGTTGATAAGTTCTGGTTTGTCACAGAACTTGTGGGGGAAGCCATTGTAACGGCTAACCGGATACTAAATTGAGTATCCCATAGCAAAACACAATTGATTCCACATGAAAAATGGAAAGGAAGGAAGATCAACTTGAATTATTTCAAAGTGTGGGGGTGTTTGGCAAAAGTGCAAGTTCCTAAACCCAAAAGGGTAAAAATAGGATTGAAAACCATTGATTTTGTTTTCATAGGATATGTGACCAATAGTAAAACATATCAATTTCTGGTTCATAAATCAGAAAATCCCGACATTCATAATAATACGGTTATAGAATTAGATAATGCTGAGTCATTTGAAAATATATATCCGTATAGAAAGGAATGTGAGTCGATTGGTGAAGGATCTAAACGGCCTCGGGAAGAAATAAAAGAAAGCACATTTAATCAGGAGGATCCAAGACGTAATAAACGTCAAAGAACGTCTACTTAATTTGGACCTGATTTTGTGACTTTCTAATTGGAAAATGAGCCTCAAACATTTAAAGAAGCTAGGTCTTCTTCGGAGTCATTATTTTGGAAAGAGGCAGTCAATAGTGAAATAGAATCCATATTGAACAACCATACATGAGAATTGGTTGTCTTCCTCCTGGAAATAAACCGTTTGGTTCTAAATGAATTTAAGAGGAAAATGAAAGATGATGGCACTATTGATAAATATAAGGCAAGACTTGTGGTCAAAGGGTATAAACAACAAGAAGGTCTTGACTATTTTGATACGTACTCTCCAATTACAAGAATTACGTCCATACGAACGTTAGTAGCGTTAGCTGCAGTTTATGGTCTTGAAATTCATCAAATGGACGTTAAGACAGCCTTCTTAAATGGAGATTTAGAGGAAGAAATTTACATGGAACAACCTGAAGGGTTTGTTGTTCCAGGTAAAGAAAAGAAGGTATGTAGACTTGTTTAGTCTCTTTACGTACTAAAACAAGCACCCAAATAATGGCATGCGAAATTTGACCAAACAATGTTGTCGAATGGTTTTAAGATAAAGGAATGTGATAAATGTGTATACATTAAAAATGTCCCAAATCACATAGTCATTTTTTGCTTATATGTGGATGATATGCTGATAATGAGTAATGACATTGCCAACGTAAATGCAACTAAGCGTATGCTAACTAGCAAGTTTGATATGAAGGACTTGGGAGTTGCTGATTTAATTCTGGGTATTAAGATCCATAAGACTCCTCAAGGTCTGGCATTGTCACAATCCCATTATATTAAGATAGTGCTTGAAAAATTCAAGCACTTAGATTTTAAAGTTGCAAAGACTCCAATTAACGTGAATCTTACACTAGCAAAGCACAAAGGCCAAAACATATCACAATTGGATTATGCTCGTGTGTTGGGATGTTTAATGTATATCATGAATTGTACACGACCAGATACATCTTGTGCTATAAGTAAATTGAGTCGATACACGAGTAATCCGGGTCAATCTCATTGTGTGGCAATGAAATGAGTTTTGGGATATTTAAAACATACCCAGGACTTTACTTTGCACTACAGTATCCTGCGGTGATTGAGGGATATTGTGATGCAAATTGGATAATCGGTTCAACTGATTCTATGTCCACAAGTGGTTATGTATTCACTATTGGTGGAAGAGCGGTATCTTGGAAGTCGTCCAAATAAACTTGTATTTCCCACTCTACAATGGAGGCTGAGTTCATAGCCTGAGCCCACCCGGACAGACTCTGGCATGACACCCGTCACCATACATAGGTAATAGCATGTCCCAATGCTATCTTCCTCGAAGTTGGCGGTGAAAAAGCTGAATGGCTCCGGAATTTCTTGGAAGACATTCCATTTGCCTAAACCATTGGCACCAAAAACCACTTTTTCAAAAACCACTTTTTCAAAATTTTCAGGCATTTTTATTTCCCCACTTACAAAACTGCAATATTTTTTCAAGTGAAATACATGTCCAAACATAATTTTAAATTCTAAATATAATTTTTCAACTTAATTCCAAATATTATTTTTTTTCAAAAATTATAATTTTTATGTCCAAACGCCTACCTAGTACTAACAGATATAAATATATATGTTCCTTTTTTTTTGTTTAATCAATTAAATTCTATATCTTCAGTTTATCACAGACATGACCGGCTCTAACATATAATGGGGTAAGGCTGCCTTAGGACCCCAATTTTTGGGGGCCCATTTTTTTAGGAATAAGGAGTATATTTAATAGATTTTTCTTTTTAAAAAATAATATATGTATATAGTAGTTTTGTACTTTTCATATAAAAAGAAAGAAACTTTTTAGATATATTAATAAATTAAAGTTTAAAATAGTACTCCCTCCGGTCCAAAATAAGTGATTTTTTTGGATGTTTTCACACAAATTAAGAAATCTACCTTTTAGCATTAATTAGCAATGGAATTGACCATATTAACCTTTACTATCTCACATAAACACTCCTAACACATATTCCAACACCATTTACTTCAAGGATAATATAGGAAAAAAAATAATTAATTCGTTCTTGAAATCTGGAAAAATCACTTATTTTGGACCACAAGAAAAAAGTCAAAAAATTACTTTTTTTGGAGGGAGTAGGAAAATAGTTGTCTCTATGATTTGATTTGACAACTCTACTTTTTATTCTTCCAAGTAATCTCTAGCCAACAATTTAATTCTAGTGCTAGTATTCATTCATTCTTCATATTCCAGAAGACATATATTTTTCCTTCCTCTTTATTCATGATTCATGCTCATCTTCTTAATTCTTTCTACTGGATTTCTTTATTTCTCCAAGACTCCAATAAGCCAAAAACTAGATATTTTGGAATCAAAGTCTTCAAACTTCTTGAATCAGTCGGTCATTGGATAATATCATTCTAACTTTCTAGTATTATTTTTATTTGTTATTTATTATTTTATTAATTTTACTCTGTCAAAATTATTTTAATTTTTTTAGAATATAAATATGTCAACAAGATAATATGCATCTGATTATTCAAAAATACAAAAGAAAAAAAAAGTTAAAAATTTAATAAAATCTCAAAAGGAGCTCTTGAAATTTTATTAACAAATAATGAAAAATAAGGCCTTATATTAAACTTTCGCCGTCAGGCACCTTATATGCTTGAGCCGCCCTTGGTCATAGAGCATTTTTACCTACAGACTACAGTATGTGAAAATGGGATTTGGTTAAAAAAAAAAGGAATTGAAACGTTTTAAATATTCTTGCTATTTAAAACCCATAATGCTCATTGTCTAAAGTCTCCAAACTCCATTAGTTGAAAACTCTCGAATCGCCCTGCGTTTTGAGTCTTCAAATACTAGGCGGTTATATACAAACAGAGCATGAAAGCTGGAAAATGAAGTTGAGATGTTGTTCAATACTGGTACCAGTACGTAGATTTCATTGTCAAGAATTACCACATACCTCAAAAATTCTCTCCCACCAGCGGCTTCTCACCCTCCTCTCTTCGTGCAAAGACCTCTGCTCTCTTCTCCAACTTCACGCTCGTCTAATCACCTCTGGCTTTACTTTCAACACTTCCACCACTACCCTTCTCATCAATTTGTACTCTTCCTTCCAAAAATGCGCCTTTTCTCGTTCCCTCTTCGATTCTTCACCCAACCCACCTGTGATTCTCTGGAATTCAATGATCAGAGCTTACGTCAGAGTCAATCAGCACGAAGAAGCTCTCAAACTGTACGTTTCAATGTTGGAAAAGTCTATTCAGCCGGATAAGTATACCTTCACTTTTGTGCTGAAAGCTTGCACTGCTATGTCTGATTTTGAACGCTGTATCTTGATTCATGAAGAAGTAGTTCGTAGGAATCTGGAAAGTGATGTTTTCATTGGGACTGGACTTATAGATATGTACAGTAAAATGGGTGATTTGGAGAGCGCAAGGATGGTGTTTGATCAAATGCCTGACAAGGATGTTGTAGCTTGGAATGCAATGATTTCTGGGCTTGCACAGAGTGCAGAGCCGATTAAGGCTGTTGACCTTTTCAAGGACATGCAATTTATTTTTAGGATTAATCCTAATTCAGTGACATTATTAAATTTGCTTCCTGCAGTTTGTAAATTAATGGATATGCGGGCATGTAGGGGTATACATGCTTATGTATATAGGAGAGCATTTCCAGTTTCGGTTCGTAATGCTTTGATCGATACATACTCAAAATGCAATCATCCGAATGTTGCTCACCGAATTTTTCTTGAGTTAACGGGGAAAGATGATATTTCATGGGGTACAATGATGGCAGGTTTTGCATATAATGGGAACTTTCATGAGGTTTTGGAAATGTTTGATTCAATAAAGACAACGAGCTTGAAGATCAGCAAAGTATCAGCTGTAACTGCATTGCTTGCGACCGGTGAAATTGGCGATTTAGGGAGAGGGAAAGAAATTCATGAATATGCAATTCAAGAAATGATTGATTCCGACATTATGGTTGCTACTTCATTGATGACAATGTATGCAAAGTGTGGATTGCTAGACAAGGCTAGAGATCTGTTTTGGGGAATTAACGGAAGAGATTTGGTTGCTTGGTCCGCAGCAATAGCTGCTTTCTCACAATCAGGATATCCTCAAGAGGCACTCTCTCTGTTTCGAGATATGCAGAATGAGTATTCACAGCCAAATAATGTTACTCTGGTGAGTGTTATCCCAGCCTGTGCAGAGCTAAGGGCAGTGAGATTAGGAAAGAGTATCCACTGCCATGCCATCAAAGCCAGTATCGATTCTGATATTTCAACGGGAACTGCCTTGGTTTCCATGTATGCTAAGTGCAACCTATTTAATTTTGCACTTAATTTGTTCAATAAGATGCCACTGGTTGAGGTAGTAACATGGAATGCTCTGATAAATGGGTATGCCCAGATTGGCGACTGTTATAATGCATTAGAGATGTTTTCTCGATTAAGGTTAACTGGATTACACCCAGACCCCGGGACAATGGTTGGTGCGCTTCCAGCTTGTGCCCTTCTAGGTGATGTACGCTTGGGAGGATGCCTTCATTGTCAAATTATCAGATACGGGTTTGAGTCAGACTGTCATGTGAAGAATGCTCTAATTGACTTGTATGCCAAATGTGGAAGTTTGACTTTGGCTGAATTCCTGTTCAACAAAAATGATTTCGCTAAGGATGAGGTGTCCTGGAACACAATGATAGCAGGATACATGCACAATGGACTTGCCAAGATAGCCCTTGCCGCATTCCATTCCATGAAGTTCGAATCATTTCGGCCCAATGTGGTCACAATTGTGAGCATCCTGCCTGCGGTGTCACATTTGACATGTTTGAGAGAGGGCATGACTATACATTCCTACATAATTAAGAGTGGCTTTCAGTCTCATAAGCTTGTAGGGAACAGTCTTATCGATATGTATGCCAAATGTGGTCAACTTGACCTTTCGGAGCATATATTTGAGGAGATGAAGAGCACTGACACTGTTTCTTGGAATGCTTTACTTACAGCATATTCTATGCATGGGGAAGGTGATCGTGCTCTTTCTGTTTTCTCTCTAATGGAAAATAGGGACATTGAAGTTGATGCTATATCCTTCCTTAGTGTCTTGTCTGCCTGCAGACATGCAGGCTTGGTTGAAGAAGGAAGGAAAATATTTCACCACATGCGTGACAAATACCACATCGAGCCAGATGTGGAACACTATGCCTGTATGGTAGACTTGTTAGGCCGTGCTGGCTTGTTTTATGAAATTATGGATCTACTTAAGACAATGCCTATGGAGCCAGATGGTGGAGTTTGGGGAGCCTTGTTGGATGCATCTAGAATGCATTCTAATATCGAGTTAGCAGAGGTTGCTTTGAAGCATCTTGTCAAGCTTGAGCAAGGAAACCCAGCTCATTATGTGGTATTATCAAGCTTGTATTCTCAGTCTGGTAGGTGGAATGATGCAGGTCATACTAGAGTAAAGATGAATGAAACTGGATTGAGAAAGACTCCAGGCTGTAGCTGGGTTGAGGTGAAGAAGGGGATATGAATTTTGTGTAGGTGCAATAGAGAGAGCCATTGGTGTTTCTCTTTGGTGAACTAGTCTAAGGGTGGCAATCCAACTGCTGAAAAATCTCCATAATTTTGCTGGGTACTTAGTGCCACACATCTTCAAGGTTGATCTCCAATATCAGCAAATTTAGCCAGCTTCAAGCTCCACCTATAAATTCTAAGATCTACAACTGATATTCAAGGCCCCATGATGTTGGCGGGAAATAGAACATGCTTCACAAAATTCATGTTCTTAGATGAAAATGTAAACGGTGAAACATGTCTTACATCTCTTCCTGAAGGAGGGGCTGGAGCAACAACTGATATTTAATCTTATATCGGACCTTAAGGTTCCAGTGTCGGAAGGGATCAACATGTGGTTTGCTCACTGAAATATGACCAGAACAACAACAACAACAACAAAAAACCCAGTGTAATCCCACATAGTGGGGTCTGTGAGGGTAGTGTGTACGCGGACCTTATTCCTATCTCGTGGAGATAGAGAGGCTGTTTCAACTGAAACATGACCAGAAGCAAGACGAAATATTTAAATGGTGGGATATACAACATCTCGATGTGTTCTCCGGTTCTGTGACTTCCCATACAGTCTTTATAGGTGTTTTGGTCTCGTTTCCAATGTTAGGTGGTTCATTTTGCACTAAATAAGAAGGCTAGAACTGTATTTAAAGGGTGATGGGAAAATATTGGAAGTACACAATCCAGTGAATCTTTTATTAACCTAAGACCAAATCCTTTACTTTCTCCTAAAGGAAAACATGAAATAATATTTTATAATCTTGTTCGGAGGTTTTGTTCCTAAAGTATTTAAATCTCAAAAGCGCTTGATGTTTGAGTTCCAACTTTTCTCTTAATACTCTTGCAGGTGTTCAGGTACTTATATCTGTTAGCAGGATGAACACTTGGGCAGAAATAGTTAACAGCAAGCTTATTGGAATGCTAACAAACATATTTTATGAAATTCCTGAGTTGTCTAATAAAGCTCTTTCAGCTACCCCTGTATTTCTTATTCATCAGGTTGATCTGATTAAAGGAATTGAATTCATTTTTGTAGAGATACTGTCCTAACCATGGTTACAATTCATGCAAGGTTCTATGGACGATGGAGGTATAGTTGTACCGAGAGTCCATCATATGGGAATAACTTTTCCTTTGCATTTTGTACCTATTGTATGGAGGTAAAGTTGTATTGGAAGTCCATCATATGGGATTAACTTTTGCTTGGCATTTTGTGCCTATTGTATAAAATTCGTGTATTTGTTTTTGGTACAAGCCAGATTTATAGGTCAAACCTATCTATACAAGCTATCTTCATATCTGCCAGGTAGGTTAAAAATGCTTTCCATTTATGTGCTATAAGTTGTTGGCAGCTTTATTTAAGATGTGCAGAATCTCTGAAGAGATCATCTGTGAGTAGCTGGAATAGTCTAAAGTTGGGGTTGGGGGGAGTTGTATTTCTAGGCAAATTTGGAGCAGAATATTGATTTTTACCCAGTGCAGAGTCTGTGAACAGATTCCATTGTCTCGTGAGCTGTTAGCAAAAAATACTTTGGTTTACCTGAGTTGGTGTTTGGTTACTGGGCTATTGAACATGATGTTAGTGTTAGGAAGTCTTATGTATTCAAATGTTAGAGTCTTATGTATTCAAATGTTAGGGAGTCTTATTTATACAAATGTTAGGGAGTCTTATTTATTCAAATGTTAGGGAGTCTTATGTTGACGCTAATTTGCTTTTCCAGTTGGGAATGTTGTATTCCTTTTGGTTGGTTGATGTTTCTGCTGATAAATTTACAGTATCAGATCTACTTGCAATCTCATTTTTGATTGTTTGTATGTCGTACAAAGAGATAGGTTTTGCTTAAAGGTGATTTTATTTGACCATTACAGTTGGTGCTTTCAAACTCAAGGGAAGAAAGAAGAAATCTGTACCTGGTGCTTTCCGATTATGTGTTGCATCGCATCAAATAAGTGAGTCTTGGATAGCTAGTGGACCTTCAGACTACAGTGATGATGAGGTCCAACCTGTCGCTATGCTGTTTATGCTCGCAGATACGCCTGAAGCTTTGCATATATCTGTAAATCTTGGATGGAAGGGATCTAGGAGCTTCTGCAACGCCCAATATATGTAATAATAGATAAAGACTCTATATTACAAGAAAAGAGTTACATGGTAGCTAATTAAGTTCGACGTTTTGAAAAGTCTAATTTTGTTATACAAAATAGAGTAACTAAAAAATTGCTATGGTACAAACTTCATAAAATAACCAGCACCAATGACACCCATAACTAATACCCGATTTTTTTCTTCCGTAATTAGTCTTCTTGATTACTGTTATCATTGTTTCTCTTAATTAGTACCACACAAAAGATGTAAGATACGTATTGATACAGATATACATCATCAACTAAGGAAAATCATGGGACCCTAATTACCTAAAAATCGAAGCCATTAATTCATGAATATAAAAAAGAAAAAGAAATAAAAACGATAACTTACAAGTTACAAGCTATAAAGTAGTAAGAGACAATAATGTCCCCGGTTCATATTATACCTTTTGAACAGTTAAATACTCACTACTAAAAAGCTAGCTAACTTCGTCCAGGAAAACCGACTGAAATCGGTCAGAAATTGAGAAAAAATGATCGATTTCCGACCGTTTTTAATTAGTCGATAAAATGATGGTCGCTAAGGTGGAAATTTCCGACCGAAAGCGATCGATATATTCAACGCGTTGACTGACATCCAAATTGCATTTACCAACCGAAATCGGTCTGTATTAATTAATTTTTTTAATTTATTTTTCAAATACCGACCCAAATCGGTCGGTCTTAATTTTTTTTTTTTTGTTTTTCAAATACCGACCGAAATCGTCAGAATTTTAAATATATAATAATTTTACAAATCTTCCAGATATATATTTTTTAGTATCGCATGTATACTCCCCACAGTATTATATCTTATTACTATATTACTAATTAGTACTAGTATATATTATCAGTATAATTTTATTGAATTCTAATTACAAATATAGAATATTAAATCTTATTACTAGGCGCTAACTACAACCCTTCCTATATTTGTTTTTTTTTAGTCCACAGTTGTTGGACTCTATGCATCAAACCTCAACTTATAAGATGAAAAAGTTCACATTTTTAAGCCGATGCACGACAAGTGAAAATTACAATTTCCGACAGAAATCAGTCGGAATTTTTGAAATTTTTTAATAAAAAGTTATTTTCCCATTTCAGCCGATGTGGGACAAGAGCATAATTTCATTTCGGTCGAAATTTTTGAAAAATTGTAATAAAACATTATTTTCCATGGAAAAACCCACTACTTTCTTCCCATGGAATATTTATTTACTAATCTATCCATTGTATTGCTTGTTTGTTTCTTCTTTTTATGAAAAAAATAGTGCATTAAATAAGGATTTCATAAATCAATAAATAATTATTTCAAGTGAATAAAATTATGATTACATTTTAATGTAAAAATATGCTTAGTTATTTTTTCTAAAATTTCATTTATAATCCTGAAATAACACATTAATCATTTTATATAAAAAAAAATATTAACTAACCGGAATCAAATATATCGTACATTTGTTAAGTAATTGATATATATATATATATATATATATATATATATATATATATATATATATATATATATATATATATATATATATATATAGTTTGTATTCTTTCATGTTATCGATTAATGCTTATGATATAGATTTAGTAGTATCACATGCTAATCATGCCCTATCTGCCACAGCTAGATAATTCTACGATGGGACTAGAACAGCGTGTAGTTTCAGCACTTAATTGGTCAAAACAACTAAATTCCAACCCATGGCGGCTTTCCAGATTACCGCAGATAAAATTATACCAAACAAAGAACGGCAAAGTGTCTGATCTATCCCTCTACTATCAGGGGCGTATGCAGGATTTTTCTTAAGTGGTGTCGACATTAAAGAATAAACAATTAAATAAATCACTATAACGATACAAATTAAAAGAACAAAATTAGAATCCAATTAAAGAAAAAACAAATCCTAGTATATTACTACAACTCTCCTCGACAAGCTTTTATAATTTGGAATGTATTCATAATATCCTTACCAGAAATAATACTTAATACTTTTTTTTATATATAAAACACTAAATAATCACTTAAAACTCTTATCATTATTTGACTTTGCAAATGGTTTCGACCAACTTCATCACCCAAAAAAAAGATGATAGAAAAAAAATAGTAAGACAACTTACGATGGAACTAAGTTAAGGAAAAATTTATTGTTGTGCTGCACCGGGCTCCAGGTCGAACCCAAAACCTTTCCCAAAATACAAAAGCGCTTGACCAGGAGAGCAAGCGAGATGTTGGTTAAAAGTAGTGTCATTTTAAATTAAGTACAAATACTTTTTTTTTAAATATCAATAATTTACACATATTTAATGAGTTTTTCCGGCCACCGCTTCCACCTAAGTGCATCCGCCCCTGTCTACTATCATCAATAGTTTAAATAAATCCTCTGTTGGTGAAAATACAGTTACAATTGAAAAATAAATTGAAGAAAATAAAATATCCTAAGGCTGAGACGCGGATATCTCGCTCTCTTTAAGGAGATTCAAGCCCACTGCAGCAAAGTCTTTACTGGTCCAGCAGTATTCTTCTTGACTTGTCTCCCCCGGGATACAACACCCCGATCACGTCGTATGACTCGAACAAACTCTGGACAAGTTGTTGGGTCCAAAGCTCCACCAAGATGAACACCTTCCTTCAACAAAAGTAAAAACTCTCTTCTTCTTCTTCTTCTTTTTTTCACAACTTTAACCTCACTTTATTAAAACACTCTCAATTATTTTTCACATACCATATTATGGAAGAAAGACTCCTATTTATAGGTGTAAAAATTCTTCCTTGAATTAAATTGGAAGAAAGTGGGGTAGTAAGTTATGAAATCATGGATAACATGAGACAAGAGTTACAAAAGAGTTATGGCCATTTTCTACATCATGGATTAGTGGGAGTTATGGGAGTTATGGTCATTTTCTACATTATGGAGTAGTGAGAGTTATGACATATTTTATTTAATATTAAAATGCTAAAATACTAACATTCCCCCACTCATTTTAATATTAAAATATATATATAAGAGAGTTTACCAGTTGAAGGGAGACTATTATGCATAATGAAGGTGTGCTCTGCATTGAACCCCCATTTAGCAAAACATCGATCTTTACTCCAGAGTCAGTAGTGGTCTCAGACTTGAACTATGACTGCTTTAGGGAAATAAATTATCACTGCTTACACATAACAATCAAGGTGTTGACATGAGCTTTATTAGCCAGCACATTACGGCCTTGTGTTATCCCGATTTTCATGAGTGTTTTTTAGAACAAGCCAAATTCTTATAGGAAGCGGCCTACTTCCACACTCACATAGGTGAAATCTGCGAAGGGTGCTCCTGTAACTCTAACACCCCACTCATACAAGCTACAGATTTTATTAAGAGTTAATAAAACTCAACCTCGCAAATTATTACAGGATAAATGCACTCACACCATAGGGATGGAACAATAAAAAATAGTGCATTTCAAACCAAGCCATCATATAATTCGTTCTTCCCATTGAACCTGGTTATAGGATCTCTAGTCCCCAGGTTGGGTTTCCTCATATATAACTTGTGAGCTTGTGGGCTTCAATCCCACCCCCCCTCGATGTGCTCCAGACCCTTTCTCTTGCTAAGGCCTTAGTCAGTGGATCTGCAAGATTATCACAAGATTTAACATAATCAACATTAATGGTACCACTTGTCAAATATGATCTCATAGTATTGTGTTTTCTCCTTATAAGTCCGGATTTACCGTTGTAATAACGATTTTGTACTCTACTAATTGCAGAAGCGCTATTACAATGAATCAAAATAGGAGGAATTAGTTTTTCAAAATAAGGAATTTGAAATAATAAATCTCTCAACCAATTCGCTTCCTCACTAGCTGAAGCTAAAGCAATTAGCTCAGCCTCCATGGTAGAGTTAGCAATTATTGTTTACTTTTTCGATTTCCAACAAATAGCACCACCTCCCAAAGTAAAAATATAACCTGTAGTAGAACATGAATCACCAGATAAAGTGTTCCAATCTGAATAAGAAAAGCCTTCGTGTACAGCAGGATATTTTTTATAAAGTAAGCCATAGGTTTTTGTACCAAGTAAATACCTCATAACTCTTGTTATGGCATGCCAATGTTCACTACCTGGCTTAGGGCCCACACCTCGGAACCCAACAAATTTCACAAAACCCCAACACCTATTCCGATATGAGTTCAACCATACTAAAACTTATAAACCTGCTAAGTACTCCTACTGCGTATGCAATATCAGGCCGAGTACAATCAGTCACATATCTCAAGCTTCCGATTAAGCTAGCATATTCCTTTTGATTTATCACATCATTGTCATATTGTACAAGAAATAAGTGAACTCTTGAATTAAAAGGGTTACAACATGCTTGCAATCAATAAAATTATATTTTTTCAAAATTTTCTAAATATAATGTGACTGGTCAAGGAAAATTCAATCACATGTTCTAGTAATTTTCATTCCAAGAATAAACTTTGCCTCACCCGAATCTTTCATGTCAAAATGGCTACTAAGCATGCTTTTAGTTTCTCCAATAACATTCATGTTAGAGCCAAATATTAACAAATCATCAACATAGAGGCAAACAATTACATGTGAATTATTCCAAGACTTATGATAGATGCACTTATCACACTCATTTCATTTAAAACCATTTTCAATTATGCAGGAATCAAACTTTTCATGCCATTGCTTAGGTACATGTTTCAAGCCATATAGGGATTTAGTAAGTTTACGCACTTTACTTTCATGGCCTGCTTCTATAAAGCCCTTAGGTTGATCCATATAAATTTCTTCATTTAGGTCCCCATTTATAAAAGCAATTTTTACATCCATTTGATGAATATGCAAATCAAAAATTGCAGAAACATCAATTAAAAGTCTAATGGATGTAATTCTAGTTACCGGAGAAAAAGTATCAAAAAATTCTAGGCCTTCTAGTTGCATAAAACCTTTAGCAACTAATCTAGCTTTATACTTATCAACAGATCCATCCGGTTTTAATTTTTTTCTTAGGACCCATTTGCACCCAATTGTTTTACAACCTGGTGGT